GCTAAGCTTTGGAAACAGCCCAAATGCCCAAAAATAGATGACTGGATCAAGAAGATGTGGTACATATATACCATGGAATATTACTCAGCATTCAAAAAAGATAAACACATGCAATTTGCAGCATCATGCATGGCGCTGGAAGGGATCATGCTCAGTGAAATAAGCCAAAAAGAAAAAGAAAAATACCGGATGGTCTCACTCATAGCAGGAATCTAGAAAACTTAAATAAGGGACCAGGAAAATGAATAACTATAAGAAAGTGAAAATCAAAATCAACAAAAAACTATGAACCAGAGACACTTTTGGGGGGGTGAGGGGCAGGAGGGGAGGGATTGGGTCAGAATGGGGGGGGGTTGCAATTGTATGGGGAATATAAAAATAAAATTTATTTTTTAAAAATAAATAAATAAATAAAAAATTGGTTGCTCCTGGGGCCTCCCCAGTGGTGCAGCAGTTGAGCGCTGGGTTGCGAAGCTGACTGCGGCCTCTGCAGCGCCAGTTCGATCCCCAGCTGCTCCCCGGCCACCGGAGGAGGGTCCCACATGGCGCGCAGACCTCTCCTGCCGCCCGCTGCTCCCCTCAGCAGTGTACTTCGGTCCTTCTGTCTGTTCTGCTCCCCGCTCTGGCTTTGGTGAATTATTTCACGCTCCCACGCTTCTGACTGTACCCCAGTGCTTGTATAAATAAATTAAATAAATAAATAAATAAAATTTTTTTAAAAATCTTTAAAAAAAATAAAATAAAATTGGTTGCTCCTGTGGCATTATTTTCTTATATGTTTTTACCTCATGTGTGTCTCAGTTGGACTTTTGAGTTCTAGGATGGGAATTCTTACTAATTTTATATTATCATGACCAGGTGTAGTGCCTGGCACATGGTGTTTGTTATTTCATTTCTTGATTACTACTTGAGGAGCCACACTCTTCATTTTGCTTCCTCTTTCCTTTTCTTGACTGTCTGAGTAATTAAAGAGACAAGAACAAAATGGCACATCCTGAAAGCAAGGGAGGAGGATTCTCAGCATCCTCAAGTCTGAAATTAAAAGGAGTTTGGGAGGAGAGAGATCCAAAAGGGTGAGAATAAGGAGCTTTTTTTAAACATTTATTTTTATACAAGAGCTGGGGTACAGGCCAGAGGCGCGGGAGGGTAGGAGGACTCACCAGAGACAGAGCGGGGAACAGAAAAGGCAGACTGAAATGCAGTGCTGCGGGGAGCAGTGGGCGAGACAGGAGAGGTCTGCCACACCATAGGGGAATCTCCCTGGCTGGCCGGGAATCAAACCTGCGCTGCAGAGGCTGCGGACAGCTTCACAGTGCTGCGCTCAACCTGCTGCACCACCGGGGAGGCCCCCAGAAAGGAGTTTTTAAGAACAAAAGATTATGTGATTTAATAGTGAAGTTAATAATTAATGTCCTTTACATATTCAGTGGCTATTAGAGATAGTATTATAGAGATAATGTTCAAAATGTAATTCTAAGCATTGATTTTACTGGCAAACCTTATTTTTACATGTTATTGGCAATAGCATCTCAGAAACATTAGGAGAATTAGATATTGTTTCAGGAGTTGGAGGGGAAAGCAGAAACTAAAATTCTACTCTTGTCAGTAGCTTAGAGAGGAAAGAAACCTTGGTTTAATACAACAGCTTGTATCTGGGAAAGAGAAAGGCAAGTAACTCCTGGAGTTGGTGGAAAGATGACTGGGAAGTAGCCAAGTGCCAAGCTTTAGCAGGATGTTGGTGCCTCCCTCACATCAGCAATGTTCCCTTCCCTCCTCTCCAGCCTACACTCTGCTGGTGTCACAGTAGCAGCTTTCCTTACATTTCATGTTGAAGCATTGATCGTGTATTCCACAAGAAGCCTGATGATACGATCAGTGTGCTGTACTCCTAATCATACACTTTGGGCTCTTTTAGTTGGATAACAGCCTAATTTGGAAACCGTTGTTTATGTTGTGTCTGGTGAATCTGAATTCTAAGGCTTATAAATGAACTTTAAAGACAGTCATTTTGCATTAACAGGGATTGTCCTGAGCAAAGGAGTTCATCCTTTTTAGATGCGAGAAAGAAAAGGAAGTCACTTGGTCTGATTACCCACATCTAGGGGAATCCGTTGCACTTTTTCTTACTATAGAGCATGTTTGACTGCTGAACTTGAGGAAGATAAAATGGATTTTTTAAACATACAACTCAGTTAATTTTGTATATTTTTCTTCTTGATTTGATAATCATTTCCTTTTTAGATTAATGTTTTCTTAGAGTAATGGAGGATCTTAAAACTTTTCAGTATGAAGATTCATTTATCAACTGTTTTATGCCAGGTGCTAGAAACACAGTAGTGATCAAGTAAACATAGTCCTTGCCTTTTCAGAGTTTGTAGTCTAGTGGGGAAGAAAGACACCTCCCTTTCCCATGAAAAGCAATGAAAACAAATTTTGGAAAATGGTGCCTTAATGTACTGCAGTAGAGTAGTGAGGGACATAGGACATTGGAGTGCTCATCTTAGGGTGGCTAAGAGGCTTCTTTGAGAACACAGATTTTAAACTAAAATTCAAAAGATAAAAGGAAATTAGACATTCAAAGAGTGGAATAGCATGTCCAAAACGGAGGCATGAGAGTTTTACTTCATAGACTGTTGTTGGAATAAGGAGAAGGCAGGTGTGGCTAAAGCAGCCGAAGAGTAGCACAGGATGAATTCAGAATAGACATGCCATATTATGTGGGACTTTGTAAACTAGAACGAGGCATTTGGATTTTATTCGAAGTGTCGGGGGGAGCTGGTAAAGGATTGTTAGCAGGGGAATGACATGAAAGTTCTGAATAGAGCACTTCGGCTGTTGCATGCTAAGCAGTGAATGTTATCAAGGAGATGAGGATGCTGCTCCAGTAGTCAGCAGAAGAAATGGTGACCTGAAATGGGGGAGCAGTGGAAGTTACTGGGATGGGAGTGGAAGGTTTTCATGTGGGAAGTAGGGTAAAGAGAAAAATCCATTATTTCTAGCTAAAATAACTGGGTTTATGGTTAGTGCTATTTAGTAATGAGAGGAGAAAATTGGGTCACATTTTGGATATACAAGCATATTTCATTTTGTTGCTTTAATACATTTCACAAATAGTGTGTTTTTTATAAATTGTCAGTTTGTTGCAACTGTCAAGCAAATCCATTGGTGCCATTTTCCCATAGCATGTTACTGTTTTTGTGTCTCTGTCACATTTTGGTAATTCTTGCAGTATCACACTTTTTCGTCATTATATCTGTTATGGTGGTTTGTGGTCAGTGATGAATGTTATTACTGCGTTTTTGCTGTAATTGTGTGTAATGGGGTGCCACAAATCACCTATGTCAGATGATGAACTTAATGAATAAATGTCGTGTGTGTTCTCACTAATCCACTGACAGTGGGTCCCCATATCTTTCCCTCTCGTTGGATCTCCCTGTTCTCTGAGACACAATGATATTGAAATTAGGCCATTTTTTATCATCTTATAGTGACTTCTAAGTGTACAAGGGAAAGGAAGAATGGCATACTTCTTACTTTAACTCAGCAGCTGGAAATGATTACACTTAGTGAGGAAGCCATGTCAAAAGCTGACATAGACCAAAAAGATAGGCCTTGGCATCAAACCGCTACATTGTGAATGCAAAGGAAATACTCTTGAAGGAAATGTTTAAAAGTGACTTCAGTGAAGACAAGGATGATAAAGTGAAATAGCTTTATGGTTGATAGGGAGAAAGTTGAATGGTCTGGGGAAAAGATGAAACCAGCTACAACATTCCTGTACCAATGCCTAATCCAGGGCAAGGCCCTAACTCTCCTGGTCTATAGAAGGCAGAGGGTTGAGAAAGCTGCAAAAGAAAAGTTTGGTGCTCACAGAGGTTGGTTCATAAGGCTTAAGAACAAAGTTGTCCCATAACATAAAAGTGCAAGACGAAGCAACAACTGCTGATGTAGTAGCTGTGCAGGTCCTCCCGAAGATCTAGCTGAGACCACTGATGGAGGTGGCCAGACGCCAAGAACAGATGTCCAGTGTAGATGAAAAGCTTTATAAAGAAAGATGCCCTAAAAAAAAAAAAAAAAAAAGAAAAGAAAAGAAAAAAAGATGCCCTCTAGGACCTTCATGCTTAGAGAGAATTCAATGCCTGGTTGCAGAGGACAGGCTGGCTCCCTTTTCAGGGACCAGTGCAGCTAGTGAGCTGAAGTTGAAGCCAGTGCTCACTTACATTCTGAAAATCCTAGGACTCTTAAGAATGATGCTACCAGTACTCTGCCTGTGCTCTACAAATGGAACCGCAAACCCTGGATGACAGCACATATGTTGGCAACATGGTTTACTTGAAAATTTGAAGGCTACTCTAGAGACATACTGCCCAGAAAAAAAACGATTCCTTTCAAGGTATCACTGTTCATTGAAAGTGCACCTGGTCACCCAAGAACCCTGATGGAGTCTTACCGGGATATGGATGTTGCTTTTGTGCTTGTTGACATAACATCCTTTGACTGTCAAGTCTTAATTATTTAAGAAATACATTTGGCGCAAGGGGTTAAGATGCAACCTAGGAAGCTATCTGCAGCCACTGTAGCACCAGTTCGATCCCTGGCCAGGGAGCTGCCCATATGGCGCAGCAGACCTCTCCTGACTTGCCCACTGCTCCCCTATGTGTATTTTAGACAGTCGCCTGTTCTGTTCCCCACTCTATCTCTGAGGACTCCTCTTACCTCCCCCCCCCCCACCTCTGGCCTGTACCCCAGCCCTTGTATGCATAAATGAATAAATCTTAAAAATATATATGTATATATTTCATTAGGCTCCAACTGTCACAGACAGTGATTCCTCTGTTGGGTCTAGGCAGAGTCCATTGAGAACCTTCTAGAAGTAAAAAATAAGTTTAAAAAAGACAACAGAAAAAAGAACAAAAATCAAAAAAGAAACCAAAACAAAGTATAAAAAGAGAAACTTCTAGAATTAATTCACCATTCTAGATGCCATTGAGAGCATTTGTGTTTTATTGAAGAAGTTCAGAAATCAACATGAACAGGAGTTTGAAAATGCTGAGTGGAGAAAGCCACTGCAGATGTAGCAAGAAAACTAGAATTAGAAGTAGTGTGTGAAGAGATGACTGGGTTGCTGCAATCTTGTGATCACACTTTCAAGGAGGAGGATGAGCAAAGAAAGTGGCTTCTTGAGATTGAGCCTACTCTTGGTGAGGACGGTATGAACACAGCTGAAACGACATCAAAGGATTGGGAATATTACCGAAACTTAATGCATAAAGCAGTGGCAGAGTTGAGAGTATTGACTCCAATTTTGAAAGCAGTTTTGTTGTGGGTAAAATGCTGTCTAATAGCCTCCTGTGCTACAGAGAAGTCTTTTATGGAAGGAAAGGTCACTCGATGTGGCAGATTCCATTGTTGTCTTATTTTAAGATATTTCTACAGCCACCTCAACCTTGAGCAACTAACATCCTGATCAGTCAGCAGCTATCATCATCAAGGCAGGAACCCCCACCAGCAAATCATTATGACTCACTGAAGACTCAGATGGCACTTTTAATCAGCACAGTATTTTTAAGGAATATACTTTTTTTTTTTAAGATTATTTTTTTTAATACAAGAGCTGGGGTACAGGCCAGAATCACGGGAGGGTGAGAGGATTCAACAGGGACAGAGTGGGGAGCAGAGCAGGCAGACGACCGAAATACTGCTGAGGGGAGCAGTGGGCGAGACAGGAGAGGTCTACCCGCCACGTGGGATTCTCCCTGGCCGGCCGGAATTGAACTGGCACTGTGGACCCTGCACCACAGTGTGGCGCTCAACCCGCTGTGCTACTGGGGAGGCCCTGGAATGTACTTTTTAAAAAAGATTTATTTATTTATGCAAACACTTAGGTACAGGGCAGAGGTGTGAGGATGAGAGGATTCACCAGAGACAGAGTGGGGAGCAGAACAGGCAGATTTACTGAAATACACTGCTGAGGGGAGCTGTGGGCAAGACAGGAGAGGTCTGCTGCGCCATGTGGGTTAGTTCCCTGGCTGGGGATTGACCTCGAACTCATGCTGGAGTGGCTGGCGATAGCTTGATAGGGCTGAGGGGCTGAGAATTAACCCCTGTGCCACCAGGAAGGCCCAAGAAATATACTTTTTTAAGGACATGCTATTACTCACTTATTAGATGTCAATATATTATAAACATAGCTTTTATATGCGGTAGAAACCAAAAAACTCATGTGACATGTTTTATTGTGATAGTCACTTTATTTGGTGATTTGGAACTGAACCTGCAATACCTCTTTGGTATACTGAGCTGCATGCAGATGCCTTAGATGCAGGTGGAGATGTGTGATTGGCAGTAGATGTGAGTCTGTGCTCCAAGCGGAAGTTTTGGCTAGCGTTATAAATTAGGAAGGTAGGTTATTGATGCCTTTGATGGCCCTGGGAATGGATGAGCTACCAAGAAGCCATGTTAAAAAGAGGTATACGGTTCTAGAAGGTGGCAAGGGCCGCAAGCACTGGTAGGGGTATGTGTTTCAGATAGACTTCTTTCATTGTAACACTGACCCTGATGGTTACAAAGGTAAGGTAAGGAGGTTTGTAGAGTTGGTTAGCATGTAAGTAAAAGATTACCAATCTAGGGATTACCAATCTAGGGCCTCCCCGGTGGCGCAGCGGTTGAGCACTGGGTTGCGAAGCTGCCCGCGGCCTCTGCAGCGCTGGTTCAATCCCCGGCTGCTCCCCGGCCACCAGAGGAGGGTTCCACATGGCGCGCAGACCTCTCCTGCCGCCCGCTGCTCCCCTCAGCAGTGTACTTCGGTCCTTCTGCCTGCTCTGCTCCCCGCTCTGGCTCTGGTGAATTCTCTCACCCTCCCGCGCTTCTGACTGTACCCAGTGCTTGTATTAAAAAAAAAAAAAAAAAAAAAAAAAAAAAAACTTAAAAAAATCTTAAAAATAAAAAAAAAATAAAAGATTACCAATCTTTTGTTTTCAAATGGAATTCATGTTGTCTACAGAGGAGGAGGAGGATGATACTGGTGAGTTTGTGGAGGGTTGAGAAGTTTGAGATGCATTGGTGGGCAGAGAAACACAGTGGATTGCCTGGTGATATCTAGTACCTTTTTGACCATGATTTGATAGTTCACTTTGCATAGTTGTGAAGTGAAAAAGAGGAAAATGCACTAAATTTGGTCAGTGGGTGTTTAGATGGAATAGGTAAACGGTGTAAAGTGTTTCAGAGGCTAGGAGGACACTAACCTATGATGTTGTCTGGTCTGGTCAGTTTGAATGACTTGCAGCAGTGTTACAAACAGCTGCTTCATCGCTTTGTTGACTAGCACACCAGGATGGAAGTCTTCTTTGCTATCAGTAAAGACAGGTTAAACTCTTGACTATGGTAATGGTTATACCACCTCATACCAGGTTCAGGGGGTTGCTAAAAGAAAAGAAAATCACCGAAAGTGTTAATATTAGCAAAATACAAAGTTAATCTATTTACCAAAAATAAGGCATGTGTCCAGAAAACTTGTGCACTTACAATTTAAAGTCAAAAAATGCCTTGCCATAAATTATCAAATGTAATACAAATTTTGGTTTATTGAAGTTATGCGCATGCTAGGCAAATGTTACATTTCCTTCCTGAATGAAGATATTTCTTAATATGGAGCTAGAAATCTGAGCTACTTAAAAGTAACATCTTGGCTACTGTTCTTTCAAAACTCTTACTGCTGAGTTAGTCAGCAGTAACTGAGTTAGTCACTTATTTTTAAAATATGGATACTTAAGAAAAAAGTTATTTGGCTAACTTTAGTATTTTCTTAACTTTGTAAGCATTTAAACATTTTTTTAAATGGAACCAAGTAATTGTATTTTAGAAATCCATTCCAAAACAAGTAATTATTGCAGTCTTATTAGGAAAAGATTGTTGGCTTTTATTGATAGTGTATCATCTTTGCTCTGCTCCTAATTTCTAAAGTGTAAGCTGGCATAAAGAGTAGCATAAATTTTTCACTGGGGCAGAAAGCTATTTGTTTTTCTCTTGTGACTTATGGAGTGGTGAATGCTGTAATACTAAAGACTTTTGGTGGAATAAGCAACATTTGCATACTTTGTCCCCAAGGTTAAAACACTAAGCCTTCTATTCCTTAGAATACACATGGTATCTTTGTAGAATAAATATACAATCACTTCTTGAATTTGAGGAGCATTCAGTTAGTCAAGGAAGAAAATTTTTATTGACTCAGATAATGTTTTAGCCATTTGCAATTTTAATCATGAATTTGAGTGCCTGTCAGATACTATTATTTTTATGTGCAGCAGAGCACAGTGTGATTGGATCTATTAAATAAGGGAGGAATGCAGGAATAATTCTTTCCAGAATCCCGGCAAGATGTTTTGAAAAACTGACATATGTTACCAAAATTTATTATGGAAGCAAGACCTTTGATGGGGCTATTAAACCATAATCTTAGGTAGTTCTTAATTTCAAATAATGATATTCCTTTTTTTTTTTCCCACCTAAAGAAGGAGAATAAACAGTGACTTCATAATAGTACATTTCCCCCTTAGTTTTTCTTTCTGAGAAACTATGGTATGGTATGTTGCTTCTGAAACTCTAAATACAAAAATTTTAAGTCACAGTATATGAAATCAAAGGAGGTTACACTGTATCTGGAACTAACTGAAAATCATAATGGAAAAATTGACTTTTGGGCCTCCCTGGTGGCGAGCGCCGAACTGTGAAGCTGTCCGCAGCCTCTGCAGTGCCGGTTCGATCCTGGCCGGCCGGCAAGAGTCCCACATGGCGCGGCAGACCTCTCATGTCTCGCCCACTGCTCCCCTCAGCAGTGTATTTCGTCAGTCTGTCTGTTCTGTTCCCCGCTCTGTTTCCGGTGAATCCTCTCACCCTCCCGTGCATCTGGCCTGTACCCTGGTTATTGTATAAACATAAATAAATCTTTAAAAAAAAATTGACTTTGAATATTTTGTTAAGCATGGTCTCCACCCTGAATTGGTGATGTGAGCCTTGCTGACTCCTACCATGGAAAGTGCCAGGCTGCTGGTTAGCTTTGTGGGTGGGGGTGGGGTGGGGAGGGAGAGGTGAAGGGAGAGACATTCAGTTGTCTAATGCTAAATTTGAACACCAAAGCTGGTTTCATTCTGAAAATAGCAGATGTGTTTATTTAGAACATGGTCCCAGGCCCAGATTTTGATATGGAGGAGTTAATCCAAAGTTTTAGAATATGCAAATGCAGGAAACTTCAGTAACTATTTATAAACCCTAGAACTCCCCTACCCCATACAAACCAACCATTCTTTTACTAATCAATAGCATTTTCTTTTGCTAGTTATTTATTCATAATTGTTTACAGATGTCTTTTCCTTCTAAAGTCAGTCTGCTTTTCAGCAAGGGGAACACAAAGGTGTGTGTTGATAGCTGAAATCTACTGTTGTACAATGTTTATACAAGTTACAATTGCACAGTGTGACCTGTTATAACACTCTGCTGTAGACATGCTCTGCTGTGATATACTTGACACTTTTAGTACTTTCAAAATCTCCTGCATTGAGATAGACTGACTGACACACACACACACATTTGTTTGGTTAAATATTAAATTGCTGTTGGCGCTTATGGTTTCCTAAGTGAATCATAAATTGGTATTCTCATTTTTCTCAGGATTTTGATCAGTATATAAAATGTTTTGCTATTTCTAAATAGAATTGGTATAGGGCCTACCTGGTGGCACAGCGGGTTGAGCACCACGCTGTGAAGCTGTCCACAACCTCTGCAGTGTGGGTTCGGTTCCCGACCTGCCGGGAAGAAACCCACATGGCTTGGCAGACCTCTCCTGTCTCACCCGCTGCTCCCTTTAGCAGTGTTCTTCAGTCAGTCTGTCTGTTCTGCTCCCTGCTCTGTCTCTGGTGAATTCTCTCGCCCTCCCGCGCTCCTCTGACCTGTACCCCAGTTCTTGTATAAATAAATAAATCTTAAAAAAAAAATAAATAGAATTGGTATAGTCTTACATTCCCGGAGCGGAAGTACTCTTCTTTTCAAAAATAAGATGCATAGTACAATACACAGCAGTACCAAAGCAGAATTTTCTGGAAGGTGGGAAAACATTGTCTTGTATCTTTAAGAGAGCCCATTCTAGTGTCAGAAGGTTTTGGTATGACACACTGATGCTGCTGAAGGGGAACCAAGTTAAAGAATGAGAGTTCTAAATAAGTTTTTAAGTTTTACAGGATCATCCCAGTCACTGTTTAAATGATTCCATAGTGGGTTTCCTCTCTTTAAAACAAACTAAAAATACTCCTTAGGCTTGGTGTCCTTTTGCTGTCCATCTCCCTTCCAGTATTCTGCCACCCACTGTAACAATGTTCAGGAAAAGTTGTATATATCCCTTATTTCTACTTCCTCACTGCCCAACCATTGTAGATGAAACTTTCATTTTCACCCCCACATTAACCTCTTGGATGATTGCTCACTTAACACTTGTGTCTGTGTACCCTTACCCCTGCAATTCTTCAAAATTATCAGTGATAATTTTTAATCAAATCACTCCCCTGCTTAAAATCAATTTCCAGACTCCCTCCCAGAGTGTTCTGGGCTGGGTCCAGCATTGTGTATTTGAAAAGTTGCTCAGCTAATTCTAATGCTGAACAAGCTCTAGTGGATTCTCTCATCCACATAATAAAATCTATAAAGCTTTGTGACTTAACAAGGCTCCTACATAATTCTCTGACTGTATCCTACTAATTTCCTCACCTCCTCTATTCTAGTCATATTAGCCTTCTTTAAATATGCCAGGACTTCGTTCTGCTCATCACCGATCTCTAGCTCTGTAATATTGCCACCTTACACATTGTACGTGTTTAATAGAAACTTGTTGAATAATATTTTATAGATACCATTCTAATTCTATGTAATGATTACCCTATAATTAACACTGATGAAATTAGTGTTTTGAGCCTTCAAGAATGCTAAAAAAATTCTTTATTTGTCTCTTGGTGTGTGCAGTATTGTCACTTCTGATCTTTTCTGTACCTTGATTCTGCTTTTGATTTATGCAATAATTCTTTTTTGCTGTTTTCTATGGGTGAAAAAGACTGGTCTTACCAGTTGCCTGCCAGTTAAGAGATTTTCTTTCTTTTTGTGGTAAACAAACTACTCATTGGGTGTAGAGTACATAATCTTTGCATGGCTCATATGCTCTTCCTCTCTGTGTTTGTTCTTGGTGGATGTTGAAGGACTGTCATTTGGTGTGGAAAACCAAGGTGGATTGATGGGAAGATCAAATGTTAAAGAGAATGCGGTCAGAGTTTGAAGGCTAATTGTGGGAAAGGTGAAATTTCGTTATATCTGCATCATACAAAGTTTTCCTGTAAAAGTTCAGGTAGTAAATTTTTGGACTTTGTAAGTAATAAATAAGATCTCTGTCACAATTATGACTGTAATGTAGAAGAACTCTGTGTGACCAGATCAGTGTGATTATGTTCCATGAAGCTATGGAACCCGAATGTAGAATTTTATATAAAAATTCTATAAAATATTGGCATGTCAGAAAAGTCATGCTTCATGACTTTTCTAACAACCCAGTAGTATTCTTTTTGACTTTTTAAACACACCCCAAGCATTTAAAAGTTATAAAAACCATTTTTTGTTGTTGAGCCGTACAAAACTGGCAGAAAGCAGTTTTTTGCCCTTGGGAGGCTGTTTAGTTTGCTAATTCCTAGTTCACAGTAATGGCATCCTTGGGCATTTTTGACTGGAGAAGTCTATAGTCCTTTTAACACCCCGTTTGCAGAAACTGTCTTTAAACTTCTGTTGGTGATGACACACTGCCTTTTTATCAAGTTTACCTGTGATTTTTATTTCAAAGAGCTACTGACCAGGTTGATGCCTCTGTGTAAGCACCTTTTGCTGGGCTACATTGAAACTGCCCATTATTGTCTTTGCGTTTTGTCCTGACACTACTATAAAACAGCTGGTTTTCATCTGTTTTAATAAGTATTTCTTTCAAGCTTGTAACCTGCAGTTGAGGCTCCTACCCCGGGGCACTTCGCTGGCACCTGTCAAGGACAGATCCCAGACCTGCTTGGCAGTTTCTTTCCTTGAGCACAGGAATCTTGTTTTGAACAAGTGCAGAGTGGCCAAACCCAGGCCTGGCAGCCAGGAAGTGCTGGGAATTTACTGGCCCTGGGAGCAGCCCTCAACCAAGGAAGTAGATAGGTACCACTGCTTTCGCTTTCCTTAGTGGGAAAATTCTAAAGCATGTTCTTCGTGATTTCTCAGAGGTCTGAAGTAGAACTAAGCTCCAGTTAATGAATACTTCATAGATTTTTTTCTCTGTCCATCTCATTTACCTAATCCCCTTTAAGTATGCGTCCTGGAATATGCAAGCTCATACACCAATGTTCTTATCTCAAGATTAC